ACCTAGACTCTACCAGGCTTTCCACCCAAGTGCAGAAACACCCTGTATGGGAGCCACCTGGTCAGTTCTCCTCACTGGATCCTGTGCCCCATTCAATTCTATAAACATTTGTTAAGCTACCACTACAGGACCAGAAAATTACCTTGAAGGAATTCAGTCATGCCTGCAAGAGTCTTCCCTTGTCAAACTACCCCGTTTTGTTAATTTCAGTATTCTGTTTTTGCCATAGCTTATCAGTTAAATAGCAATACAATTTTAGCTCATATCCTTAGGGATATTTTCCACGAACCATTACCTTTAATTCAAGAACTTTAGTTTAGATCTTTATTTGGTGTCTGCAGTGTGCTAAGTGAGCCTTAAAAGTCCGAAAACCAACTTGTCCAAAAAAAAGCAATTGTGTTGATTACCAAGGATTTCCTTCGAAATACATATACCTTTCTCTGCTACCTCAGTGTTCAAAGTCGTTAGTTGAGGTCTCCCCACTCCTATGTCCTGGAGGCCCACCTGCTCCCTCAGCTCCCTGCTGGTAGCGTGGGTGGTGTAGAGTCACAGCAACCAGGCTCAGAGGTATAGACAGCTCACAGTGTCACAAGGCCCTGGGCGGGGAGACCATGTGTTCTTGGGAGGGACCCCTGAACTGGAAGATAGGAAGCCTGGGGACTCGACAATGGCGTTAGTTAAGGCCCTTTACCTCTCTCTTTTCTGCTAACCAGATGGAATTCCCAAGAGCAAGTGGAGGTTATGGATATGAAAGGGCTTTGAGATCTTGGGAATAAAAGTACAACGTGTACAAATGAAGTTATATATTTTCAAGGGAATATCTATCTCTTAGGCAATATGACGCACAGAAAGAAATGTGAAGGGGTAGGTGGTAAACTTTACACCAGTGTGCCCAGACCAACGGCACCAGTGTGACCCTGGAATATGTTTTCATGATGACAGCTTAGGCCGCATCCCAAACCGAGGAAAGACAAAATGCAGGAATCGAAGCCCAGTATTCTGTTGTAACCAGCCTTCCAGGGGATGCTGAAGTCTGAGCCACCAGCCCAGCCTTTTCCTCTGATGCTCTAACTTATGAGTAGGGTATTTCTGTTTTGACAGATGGTTATCGAGGTGCCTTTTGACCCTTTCTCTTGGTTGAAGCCAGCTGCCCTGCTGGGGGAAGAGGAAACAGTGTCCCTAGTGTTCGTAAGAAAAGGGAAAAAGGCTGCATTGTCCATTATTTTTTGACAGTTGCCGCAGAACTTGACCTGGAGAGCTTGTTAAGAAGGAGCCAGCCCTGAGCCGTCCCCTCCCTCTCCTGCGAAGGTGCTGCTGTGTTTGCCTCACCTCCTGCCCTGAGGCCTGCTGCTTCTTGAGCCAGTCCTTAAAAGGAGCAGTGGGTGCCACATTTGTTCTTTCTGGTGCCAGGTCTGGGCTATTTCACTTCCCCGGCGTCAAGTGAGTGCTTAATGAGCAGCTGTGACGTAAGGCTCAGCAGACTTGAGAGAAAGCAGCTGCAGTCCATGCTTTCTGCTTGTCGCCATCCTTCCCTCTCCCAGCCTCGAGTTCTTCGGTGGGGTTGTGGTCAACCCGTCAGCCCTTCCTCATGAGCCCTGATAACCCTTGCTCAGAAAGAGATGTGTGTGGGGTATGTGGACATGGATAAGTGACTCGAGCAGAAGTGACATGGTATTTTTAGTTCTCCTATTCCCTCGGCCCCTCCCTTGATTTAGACCCTAAGATAAGAAAATACGGCCGTATTTGGATTTTTGACAGTTCCTTGTTCTTTTGGGGGCTGAGTGCCATCTTTTCCTGTGGTTCTTGTCCCTGACAGGGTTGGGGCTAGAGTTGACTGATGGTCCAACCTTCCAAACTTGTGCCTTGTTAGATAGCTAGGTTCTCCTACTTCCAAGGATCCCCAGTTCCTGTCCCTTGACCCTAGCAAACTCCAGTCATGCTGCTCCTTTGGGTGACAAAACAATTCTGGAAGACATGCAGCAAATTCCTCAGGAGGGTTTGTTTCTGGGGAAAATAAGCAAAAAACTGTGGTGTGTGTGAGATTGCTACTGAAGTAGACAGAAGAGAGGAGGAACCCCTGTGAGCTGTGGCAGGGTGAAGGGTTAAGTGGGATGGAGCCAGTGGGGGAGGTCAAAGAACACTCCTCGGTGAAGCAGGGGCACTGCTTGAGGCTGAGACTCCACTGGACCCTCGCCCCCACCCCATGAGACTGAAGGAAGCTCGCCTGGAGGGCCAGATAAACTTTACAGACCATTCCTTGTTTCCCTGAAAGTAGGCTGACCCCTACCCCCAGCAAAGACGAGGCTAGAAGAGAAGGTAAAGAAAAGATAGAAAACAAAGTAGACAGAGATCACACCAAATCGCTACTTCATTTATTCAACAAATATTTGCTGAGTGCCTCCTGTGTACCAGGCTACTGTCTCGGCAGAGTCCAACTGCGGGCAGGTATATTTTGCATACCCTTCCCATCCAAGTACTAACCAGTCTCGACCCTGCTTAGCTTCCAAGATCAGATGAGATGGGGCGTGTTCAGGGTGATATGGCTGCAGACTGTTTTGCAGACTCTTATCTTTAATTTTCTCAGCAACCCTTCAAAGTAGGTATCACAAGCCTCATTTTGCAGATAAGGAGGCTGAGGCTTTTAGAGGCTAAAATTGACCCAGGTCACCCAGTTGACAGATGGTGGCCTAGGGTTCAGATTCAGTCCGTCGGATTCAAAGGCCTGCGCTTGTACTACCTGGCCACACTGCCTGTCATCAAAACACTGCCTGTCTTTCTTGCAGGCTGGTCTGTTTCATTTCCTTCCCACCATCTGTCAAAAATGGGCTTGGGCTGGAGAGGCCTCTACCTATTCTGCCCTCCTTGTTTCTAGACCTTAGGTGAAGCACATCTCCCTACCGGCTCCTCCCTCCTCCTGTGTGCCCCCCTTTCTCCAGGCCCTTAGCCCTGTGCCTGGGCTCCTGGCAGCTGTGTTTCATGAAGACGTTTGACCTTTGAAGAGTAGTCTTGTCTGTTGGTTGGAGAAGAGAAGCGTACCCAAAAGGAAGGCTCCCAGCCAGGTCTTTAAACAAAGCAGTCAGGAAGAGGTAGAACCAGCTTCCCATGATGCCACGGTCTGTGGAGGGGTGTCTCACTGCGCCTCCCTCCTGCTCCGTGCCTGCTTCCCTCCTAGAGCAGAAAGGGTGGCACCCACCTGGATGGATAGCCGGGGGTTACCACCATAACTACCACTTTCCTTATCCTGCAGAAGAGCTCTCTTTTTATGAGAAGAGCTCTATGTTACCTGCCTACACTACCATCTTCCTGTGAGGTCCTGTGCCAGTCTCTGTTCCTGCCAATGCCTGTAACTCCTGTGACATCCCTTCTCCTGACATCCTTGTGGAGACAAGCCCTACTACCCCACAGCCTTCTCTCCTGCTTCAGTGCCATTGTGAGAGCCGAACCAGGGTCCTGCCTACTTCCTGCATCCTCACCAGGGTCAGACGAGCCTAGTGTATGCCCTTGTGAAGACACAGCTGTACAGCTGGCAGCACTGGGTTGGGGAGCAGATTGTGAATCTTATCATTCAGATTCTTGATCACAATACTTTTTGGAGACATCTGCCTGGTGTCTCCAAAATCCAAGGGCTCTGCCTGAACCTCCTCTATGCCTAGCCCCATCCTTTGGGAGTCATGGATTCCTAGGCCAGTGTCACACTCCAAAGCCATGTTCCTGTGACTAGAAGGCAAGAGAAAAACTTGAGCTTGGAGTCTTCACCCTGGCATAGACGTGTCTCACATACTTAGGATGTGATCAACCTCTAATCAACCCCACACCAACTGCCTCTGCCCCCTTCACTTCGTCCCCTCCCTGACCAGCTATCCCACTGCACTACCAGAAGTTGACACCACCCACTCACTACCTTCCAAAGCATCTTCCCCAAGTCTCCCACCCAACTCTGAAGCCAGGAAGCCCCCACCACCTGACAGGGGTAGCACTCCACCCTCCCCTACATAGCCATCAACCCTTAGAGTCTAGAATCTCTTCACTCCCAGCCCTCCATATTTCTAGTCCAAACCCTTACTACTAAAAAGCATGGTCCAGGAACCACCATGGGCTTCACCTTAAGCCTCTCAGAAATATGAATTCTCGGCCGGGTGCGGTGGCTCTCACCTGTAATCCCAGCACTTTGGGAGGCTGAGGCGAGTGGATCACGAGGTCGAGAGATGGAGACCATCCTGGTCAACATGGTGAAACCCCATCTCTGCCAAAAATACAAAAATTAGCTGGGCATGGTGGTGCATGCCTGCAGTCCCAGCTACTAGGGAGGCTGAGGCAGGAGAATTGTCTGAACCCAGGAGGCGGAGGTTGCGGTGAGCTGAGATCACGCCATTGCACTCCAGCCTGGGTAACAAGAGCGAAACTCCGTCTCAAAAAAAAAAAAAAAAAAGAAATATGAATTCTCTCTGCTTCAGGTGAATCCAGAGGGGGGAGAAATATATACATACATATATATATATATATATATATATATATATATGAATTCTCTGCCAGGCATGGTGGCCCCACACCTGTAATCCCAACAGTTTAAGAGGCCAAGGCAAGAGGGCAAGAGGATCACTTGAGCCCAGGAGTTGGAGACCAGCCTGGGCATCATGGTGAAACCCTGCTTCTACAAAAAATACAAAAGTTAGCCAGGCACAGTACATCCCTGTAGTCCCAGCTACTTAAGAGGCTGAGGTGAGAGGATTGCCTGAGCCTGAAGGGTTTGAGGCTGCAGTGAACTATGATTGCACCACTGGATTGTATCCAGCCTAGCTGATACAGCAAGACCCTAAAAAGGCCCTCCCCAGGCCATTGGAATCTGACAACTTTTCAGTTAAAAGTATGAGAAGCAATTCTCTTTTTTTTTTTTAATCTTTTTTTTTTTTTTTTTTTTAAAGACAGCATTTCACTATGTTGGCCAGGGTGGTCTTGATCTCTTGACCTCGTGATCTACCCAATTCAGCATCCCAAAGTGCTGGGATTACAGGCTTGAGCCACCACGCCTGGCCTGAGAAGCACTTCTGAAAACAGTCTGGTCTGCTGAAGAGACACGCCTCACCTTCCTGAATAGAGGGCTGCAGTGGAGTTGAGAGCCAGTGAGGAAGGCTGAGCTGGGACCCCACGGTTTAGGCCTCACATTGGACAGTGGAGAAATCTCAGGGTGACCCTGATCCTCCCTAGAACTCCACAGCCCTCAGCAGAGAGAAGCGGCCATGGCAGGACCAGAGAGGAGGGGGCAGAGGGGACCATGTGGTGAGGTCCAGACCAGGGCTCAGGAGCAGAAGGCACACATAACAAGAAAGAAGGCACCTGCTTCTGCCAGGCAGAGGTGGGAGGGTCCCCTGGAGCTCCTACCACCATCCTGCCCCCAGCTCCCACCCAGAACAGCACAGATCTGCTGGATGACTGGGTTTCTTCTCTCCCTCCTGCTGGCAGTCTCCATCGCCTACCGGCTGGATTACTGGTAGTGGGTGCTCAGGAAATGTTTGTTGAACTGAGAGGAAGCCACAGCTTGTGCGGAGTCCGGATAATTCAGCAAACGTGGGCCTCAGGGGAGGGGTGGGGATGGAGGCTTAGTAGGAAAGACAAGTCCTGATGTCATATTTAACTGGAAGTTGTTTCTCTGTCTGTGGAGTCCCTGTCTGATTCTTGCCTTTGCCTGGCCCTGGTGCTAGTGCAGGGCGGTGGGGAAAGGAAGTGGAGAGAGCAGGAAATGACCCTAGGCTGCGGGGCCAGGCCCTTGTCTCTGTTCAGGGTGCACGTGATGTCTGACCTGGGTGTGGGGGCCTGGGAGTGAGCTCTCCCATCCTGCTGTGGGGAGAGGAGGTTGTCCCTCCCCATCCCACCCCATTTCAGAGAGAAAGACTTTCCAGAGATCCTCCTTTTCACTGAGAAGACATGAGCTCTGCTCTTCTTTGCCCAGGCCAGAGCTTGCCAGCTGTGTGGATTCCCGTCCTCTGTGCCTCAGGATTCCCCTGGTTGGGCATCCTGGGAATCTGGGGCTGGGGGATTCCAGCCCAGGCCAGAAGTGGAAGCCTGCAGCTGGAAAGGGAGTCCAGGCCCTGGGGGGTGATGGAGAGCCAGGTGGTGAGTGCCACTAAGCCTTGTTCTCTCATTATGGTGGAAAAGGCTTGTGGACTGGGCAGCAGTAGGCCCAGGTCAGGGTGCACTAGCCTCAGACGCCAGGTACCAGTACAGGAATATACCAGGGACTGTGCCCGAGAGTGAAAGCACACATGTGCACAGGGATGAGTGTGCGAGCTGCAGGGAGGCCACTCCTTGCCCTCACAAGGTTGTCGTGCTGGCGAGTTTGCCACACTGCTCAGTGACACTGGCACAAGCCATAGCAACCACATGGCCATCACACGGAGGGCTCCTAATGGAGTGCTTCCCTTTTCCTCCCCCCAAGCTCCCAGGAGCTGTGTTCAGCATCTTTCTGCAGGGCCAGGGCGCCCTGTCCTGCGCCTCACACCTGCTGTGCCTCTCAGCCTTTGGCTGCCTCCTCTCAGGGGCCAGCTTCTCTGTGCCAGGCTCTGCTGGGCCCCAACCTTATCAGACCTGTCTTCTCTGGGCTCTGGAGGCACTGCTGCTCTCTGTGACTCAGGGCAAGTCTGGACTTCCAGCTCAGCCTGGTGATTATTCCACCCCAGGGGCTGCTGCTCAGAGCCATCTGGCCAAGACACAGGGCTCTCCTGGGCCTCAGGCCTTGGATTGAGCAAACACGTGCCCTCCTTAGGCCCAGGGATGCCAGCCCCTCCTACAGAAAGGTCAAGAGGAGCCAAGTCAGGCTCCTGTGGAGAGCAGGGGGCTGAACCGGCTGTGGAAGCTGCTGACTCCCCCTTTGGCCCCTCTGGGGATGCCAGGGCTGGGCTGGCTGCAGGGGCACTCCCCAGATGGCCCGGCTCCATCCCGCTCTGCTTCTGTGCTTGCTTCTGCTCACTGGGAGTATCTCTGGTGCTTTGGCTTCCCTAAAACAAGAGAACACCCCCAGTAGCTGGTGAATCCAGGGCTCATGTCCCCAGTCTGCCCCATCCTATACTCAAGTACCTACCTCCTGACTCTCCAGCTCCTCCTTGTCTTCCTTCATATCCCACCTGTAGAAACAAAGCGCAATGGTACACCCCACCCCACTTCACTCCAGAGCCGGTGGCCCGTGTCTCCCTGCCTGAATAGAGGGGTGGGGTAGAGTTGAGAGCCAGTAAGGAAGGCTGAGCTGGGATCCCATGGTTTATGTCTCTCATTGGGCAGTAAAGAAATCCCAGGGGTGATCCGGACTCTCCCAAGAGCCCCACAGCCCTCAGCAGAGAGCATTAGCCATGGCAGGACCAGAGACAAGGGGCTTCCACCTCCTCTGGACCTCCACCCTCTCTGGGCCTCCACTTCCTCTCAACCTCCACCTCCTCACAAAAGAAAACCCTGGGAGAAGCCAAAGCCCAAGGGTCTTAGACTGGGATCAGAGCCAGAATGTGGCTCCAGGATCCTTCCCCCTCCCAAGCCTGACGTTCCCTAAACCCAACTATTTCCTCTGAATGCCACCCACTCTGGCCCCATCCTGGGCCCCTAGTTGCTGTTTATGGCCAAGCCTGCAGCACCTTGAGTTCTGTGGAGACTCCAGGCATGTCCCTGCCTGTACTGCCTGGGAAAGGCACACCTCACTTCCCAGGGGAAGGGAGCTGCTGTAATTACCACTGGCCTCCCTGAGCACCGGTCTCTCGCTACCGCCTTTGCTGATAGCCTCTCCCAGCATCTCATTAACCTGTCACCAGGCAGCAGTCAGCCAGGAGGTAGGGGCCCCAGGGACAAAGCTGACACCTGGGCCTGTGCTGGTCCAGGAAATGGGGACACCCAGATGCCCGCCTTGATTTTGTCCCCTGCCACCTGTTACCTTCGGGCCCTGCCAGTCAGCCTCTCCTTGCCCCGGGCTTTGCTGCCTGCAGCTGGTGCCACCAAGGATCTGCTGGGTTGCCCACCCCGACCTGCAAGAGATGGTCCACAATCCAAGGAGAGAAGAGGCCCATAGCAGCCGCTCCTTCTTTAGCTGATGGGACCCAGACCCTCCTTCTCCCCAACTCACCTTTTCCATCAGGGAGCAATGGTGGGGGCTGTAGTTTCCGGTGGCTCCTGGGACCTGCAGGGGACAAAGGAAGTGGGGAAAGGTGGGGTGACAAAAGATCCAAAACAGGAACACTGGATCTTGCCAGTCCTTGGGGACAGTCGTGGGTTTTGCCTCCCCAAAAGCACCCTGGCCTAGGGGTCAGGAGAGTCGGGTCCTGTGTCAGCTTTGCCACTCCATGGCTGGGTGTCTGGCCCCAACTCTCAGGCCACAGCTTCTTTATATATAAAGCGAGGGGACTAGAAATCCACAGAGCTGTTTCTACAGAAGGCCCAGGGAAGGACCACCAGGACTTTCACCCAATAGGAACCAGGACCTCGAAGAGACCCCAGGGCAGGCTTCCACTGAGCCTCCTTCTGGGGCCTTCTGGTCAGAACCTGGACAGGAGCTGTGGGCTCAGAGGGGAGGATGGGAGGTCTTGGTGCCCTTCTCTGATAGCAAGGGAGAGAAAGGAAGATGTTCTCCAAGGCTTCCTTTCAGCTCTGAAAATAAGTAGGAAACTAAGAGATAGAGAAAAGAGAGGATAAAGGGGTAAAAGATGAACAAAGCCAAGAAGGGGAGGGACAAGGTGGGTGTGGGCTCACCCCTTCTGCTGCCCGCCCTAGCCAGGCCTTCTTCCCTCAGCTGGCTGCAGTCCTGTAGCCTGTGTAGACAGACAAGGGAGTCAGGTTGCTAGGGCACAGAAGCTACCGTGGGCCCCACCCTGACACCCCTTCCTCCAAGCCCAGGCCCAGAATTGAAGGCAGCAGGGAGATGGTAGGCCCAAGAAAGATGGGAGACCCAGTGCGCACACAGAGCCTTGAATCCTGGGCCTGACCAGAGAGTCCCAGCAAGGTCCTCTTCACCCCAAGGAGGGTCCCTGCAGCCCTCCAAGCTCCACCCTGGCACCACAAGGACACCAGCCCAGCAAGCTGCCCAGCCCAGCCACCCACGTGGGCTTGGCCTTGTCCAGGTCCCACGGGCGGCGCCAGTCACCCTGTGCATCTCTGTGCCGGGCAAGGCGGGCTAGGTCAATCTGCTCCCGCTCCTGCTTCCACTGGGCATAGTCCCAGCCCACCTCCAGGGGTTCCCCCACAGGCTGGCTCCGGGGCTCCTGAGCACCCTGTAGGGAGAAGACACTCAGCAGGCGGGGGTGGAGGGGGGGGGAAAGCAGGAAGAGGCTTGGAGTGGGGTCTGGAGACTCCAGATGTTTCCTCTCTGAAGGTTTTCACATCCCCAGCTAAAAATTAGGTCTGTTCCAGCTCTCTTCTGGAAATGGTTTCCATCTACTTGTTAGCTGTGTGTTTTAGGCAAGTAATTTAACTGGTGTGTCATTTCCTCATCTGTAAAATGGGGATCTCCATAGCACCAACCCACAGGGTTGTTGCAGGAGTGTGCAGACAGGCCGGAGTGGGAGGGGCCCTGGAGGCTGTGAGCAAGGGCAAGGACTAGGGGGTGCTGCCACCTAGAGGTCACACCTGGCACTTGGCCAGTCCCCTCCACCCTCCTGCCCCCTCCCCTGCCCCTCTCCCACCAGAGGGGCTAGATAGGGGAGGAGGCTGGATCACATCTCTGGCTTAAACTGTCTCCCACTTCAAGGCCCAGTAAAGACTGGCCAGAGAAAAGGAGGAGGAGCAGGAACTCCTGCAGGCACTGCCTCAGCCACGTCCCCGCAAATGAGGGACATATCTGACTCAGCTTCTCTGCCTCCCCCAAGTGAGGACCCTCAGATCCATGTCCCCATCCCCTCTGAAGGCACACCTTCCGTGCAGAGTCCGAGCTGATGGCCACCTGCATGGGGGGACTCCGGGCCATGCGCCCTCCAGGTGACCCCTTTGTACCCTGGTTCCTTGCTCTGGTAGGCTTTTCACTTACAATCCGTTTGGCCTGGGGAGGGTGAAGATGAGCAGTGCAGCAGAGCCAGGGAAGAATAGGCTGCCCACCGATGCCTGCCCTCCCCACCCACCCTGCTCACCTCTGCTTTGTTCTCCATGGTCACGGCAAGCTCTACCCGCTCCCCTAAGCAGAAAATACCGCCATAGTCCTTTGCGTCCTCATCCTCAAGCATCTCATTGGCCACTCTGGGTCCGCAGGTGCCCCTTGTCCAATTCCTGCTAACCACCCGCTTTTCCTGCAGAACAAAGACCCTCAGGCCACATGTGCGGTGCTGGGCAGGACCTAGATCCTGGGTCCTCTCGGTAGTTCCCCAGGCCTGGGTTCCAACCCCAGCCCTCTCTGCAATGCCCACAAAGGAGCTGACTCCCACAGGGTGTTCACATGCCAATGGCATGAGGTTATCCAGGGCCCAGGGCCACTCAGAGGGCCAAGATGCCACAGTGGCCTGTCATCGCTGAGCTGGGAAACCCAGAGCACTGAGACAATGCATCTCTGTCCCTCAGACACTGCTCCTGGCATTCAGCCCCAACTTCTCTGTCCCCCACTTCCTGCCGGGTTTTTACTCCTGGAGCTTGAGGTTTAGGAGTGCGCTTTGCCGCATAGGTGCAGAGCTGTGGGCTAGAAAAGGGCATGAGGAGGCTTCTACTGGGGGAAGAGGGGATTTCAGCTGTGGCTCTTTGGTGGGGCCAGCAGTGCGCAGGTTGCAGGAGGTTGGGAGCTGGTGGGTGGACCCTGGAATAGTTAGTGGGAGAGGGGAACAGAGGCAGCTGTCTTCCCCCGACACGGTCTGGCCCTCCACCTCCTCACCACGTGCGCTCTCTCCCAGGGTGAGGCTTACACCAGGAACCTGGCTGATGGTGACAGTGAGGCCATCGGGCTGGAGGAGCGCCGGTGTGGTCACAGCCATGCCCCCCTGCTCTGCCTGCCGACGGTCCTCCTGGATCTCCTATGGGAGGGCCCGGGGTCAGCACACGCCACGGCCCCCCAGGTGCACAGAGACACAGATGCTGACAGGCCTACACAGAGAGACACCAGTGGGACACCAGGGGGCAGAGGCGCCACATCACACATCCCCAGGACCCTGACCAAGCCTCTGAGAGGGACCATGCCCACCCTACCCCTAGCCCCAGGCCCAGAGATGCATTCCTGAGCTCTCAGGGAAAGACCACCACGTGTTGGACAACCAGGGGATGGCAGCCACGCGGGTCCTCCTGGCCCTGTGGCAGCCCACTCACCTGGTACCTGCGGAGCAGGGCCTGGTTCTTCTTGCGCAGGGCAACTATCCTCCGATCCAGCTCTGCATCCTTCTCCTGCCTGTGCATGGGGGACTCGGCTCTGGGAGGCCCCTGCAGAGGCAGGGACCCCAAGCTGCTGACTTCCGGATCCCCACTTCCAGTCCCCAGCTTTCACATTTTTACCACCCAAAGAACAGATCCCAGACCCACAGCTAAGGTCACCCAGGAAGGAAGGGGATTGCTCAGGCAGATGGCCCAAAGAAAGCCCCAAGTCCCCATTCCAGCTAGGCCTGTCCGCCTGTCCCTGCCTCCTGGGGGGCTCGGGTCAGGGCCTTATACCCGGAGCCACAGCTCCCAGCAGTGGGCTGCCCCTCCCCCAGCTCTCCAGGGAGCTTCACTGCTGAGCAGAGCCTGGAATGGGAGTTATAAATGGCTCTGGCAGCGGAACCTGCCGTGACTGGGAAGCTGCCAGGGGATTCGGGAGGTCGAGGGGGGAGCTGTTAGGCTCCCAGATTCACAACCACAGAAAAAGGAGAGGCCCTGGCTGCGTCCTGGGCTCTCAAGCCCTGGACCCCACACCCAGGCCCGTGCCCAGCCTGGAGGAAGGAGCCGCTCCCACAGGCCCAGCCTCTTCAGGCCGAAAGCTGCTGGCAGTCGGGGCGGAGAGAGCCAGCTCCCCTGGCAGCCCCAGCCAGAGTCGCCGTGGGCAAACCATGTCTCTGCTCCAAGATTCCAGGTTCCTCCCTGTCTGCCTTCAGGGTCTCTGTTGTGGCCTGCCCTCGACCCATCTAGTCACAGGCCTCTTCCTCCCAGCCCCAGCTGTCCCCAGCTGCCCCCAAAGGGTGGCTGCCTGGTATCCCAGCCCCCTCCCAGTCCCAAGAAGCCCCCTGCCAAAGGCAGAGTGCCACTCACAGCCGAGTGCATGGCAACAGCGGGCACCAAGAGAATTCCAGAGCAGCCCCTGGGGAGCCAGAGTGGGAGGGAAGCTGGAGCCACCGGAGCCGGGCCTTTGCTGGCCTCTCCCTGCCGGCTTCGCTGCTCAGCACACGAGATCATGTTGTGATTACAAAAGACTCCTCTGGGCTCCCAGCCAGGAACGCTGGGCCGCCACCCCCACCCTTCCACTCTCAGAGGGCGAGGACCAGGGCACTGGCAGCTGGCTGGTCCTGCCTAGCACCTCTCGCTGCCCCGCCCCAGCGTCCCCAGACAGACTGGCAGGGACTTCTCCCTGGTGGGTCAACCCCACACAGGAGGCCTGGCTGCCCCAGCCCCAGCAGGAACCCAGCCTGGGCTGGCCTGCAGACAAGATGGGCAGCCAGCATAGGCCTCTGTGTCTCCCACGGCTAGATACCGGCTTGCAGCACACAAACGCGCCTCCCCTCTCCGGCTCCTTCGCCTCATCAGCCTTGGTTCAAGTAATTCACAGGGATCAAGAAGCTCACTTCCCCTAGACCACCAAGTACTACACCACATGCCTAAAATGACAACACTAGCCACTCATTCTTTTAGGTTGGACATTGTCTTTTCTGTGCAGCCGTGTACCATATAACAACATTTCACTCAACAATGGACCACATAGTTGATGGTGGTCCCATAAGATTACAATGGAGCTAAAAATTCCTATGGCTTAGTGACATTGTAGCCATCATAACGTCATAGCACAGGGCACTACTCATGTGCTTATGGGGATGCTAGTGTAAACAGACCTATTGCACTGCCAGTCGTACAGAAGTATGGCGCATACAAGTATGCACGGTACAGAATACTTGATAATTAACCATTATGTTACTGGCCTGTATATTTACTATACTTTTTATCATTATTTTAGAGGATATTTATTCTACTTACAAAAAAAAAAAAAAAAGGTACTGTAAAACAGCCTCAGGCAGGCCCTTCAGGAGGAATTCCAGAAGAAGGCGTTGTTGTCATAGGAGGTGACAGCTGCAGCCCTGTTACTGCCCCTGAAAACCTTCCAGTGGGACAATATGTAAGGTGGAAGACAGTGATGCTGATGGTTCTGACCCTGTGTAGACCTAGGCTAAGGGTGTGTGTTAGTTTTTACCAAAAAAGTGTATAAAGTTAAAAAGTTTCAGCCGGGCGCGGTGGCTCAAGCCTGTAATCCCAGCACTTCGGGAGGCCGAGGCAGGTGGATCACGAGGTCAAGAGATCGAGACCATCCTGGTCAACCTGGTGAAACCCCGTCTCTACTAAAAATACAAAAAATTAGCTGGGCATGGTGGTGCGTGCCTGTAATCCCAGCTACTCAGCAGGCTGAGGCAGGAGAATTGCCTGAACCCAGGAGGCGGAGGTTGCGGTGAGCCGAGATCGCGTCATTGCACTCCAGCCTGGGTAACAAGAGCGAAACTACGTCTCAAGAAAAAAAAAAAAAGAAAAAGAAAAAAACATAGAATAAGGATAGGAAAAGAAAATATTTTTGTGCAGCTGTACAAGGTATTTGTGTTTTAAGCTAAGTGTTATTACAAAGAGAGTCAAAAAGCCTTTAAAAAGTAAAAGGTTTATAAAGTATAAAAGTTACAGTAAGCTAAGATTAATGTTACTGAAGAAAGAATTTTTTTTTAATTTTTCATTTTTTGAGACAGAGTCTCATTCTGTCACCCAGGCCAGAGAGCAGTGACATGATCACAGCTCACTGCAGCCTCAGCCTCATGGGCTCAAGGGATCCTCCTGCCTCAGCCTCCTGAGTAGCTTGGACTACACACGCATGCCATCATGTCCAGCTAAGTTTTAAAATTTTTGTAGAGAGAGGGTCTTGCTATATTGCACAGGCTGGTGTTGAACACCTGGACTCAAGTGATCCTCCTGCCTTGGCCTCCCAAAGTGCTAGGATAACAAGCATGAGCTACTGTGCCTGACCAAAAAACCATTCTTATCAATTCAGTCTAAGCTAAGCGCACAGTGTTTATAAAGTCTAGAGCAGCAGACGGTAACGTCCTAGGCCTCAGATTCACTCACCACTCACTCAGTGATTCACCAGAGCAACTTCCAGTCCTGCAGGCTCCACTCATGGCAAGTGCCCTATACAGGTGTGCCGTTTTCAGTCTTTCCCACCATATCTTTATTAGACCTTTTCTGTGTTTAGATATGTAAACACTTAGCACTGTGATACAGCTGCCGACAGTATGCAGTACAGTAACCTGCTGTACAGGTTTGTAGCCTAGGAGCAATGGGCCGTGCCATCAAGCCTGGGTGTGAGGCAGGCTGTGCCGTCTAGGTTTGGGGAAGCGCACCCTGTGGTGTTCGCACAATGATGAAATTGCCCTGGCATTAGGAGGCAAATGATTATGTTTTAAAGCACAGCCACTCCCAGGGGGCTCAGTTGTTTGGGTCTCTCGCCCTTTGGTATGGCAAGCCAGGCCTTCCTCCAGGGCCCTTGCTGTGGCAGCCCAGAGCTGGTCAATAGCCTTCCTCTCTCAGGCCCTAAGTCTAGGCCCTTCCTGGCCTTGCTTTCCGAGACTGGCTTTTTCAGCCTCTCTGAACCCAGCAAAGTAGCCCTTCTCAGGAGAGCTCCTCCGCATATTATCCTCATACAGCTGAGGCTGGTATCTGCACCCAGGGGGACAACCTGCCTGGCAGAGCTACCCTAGAGCCTCTGGGACTCAAGGCTTGGGAGTGCTGAGAGGAGGGTGGTCTCTCTGGAGTGGGAATTCATAGTCTGTTTCCACAGCGACAACGCCCTGACCTCCAGGCCCACAGGTGAGAATCAGAAGCCCCTGCATTCCCCACACCCCTGATTAACCAGGCCAGTTTCCCGAATGCCACAACTTGTCCCTTCTGTCTTCAGAGCAGGAACCCCTGCTGGCTTCTTTCTCCTCCCAGACCCACCCAGGCAGCCAGAGGTCCAAACTCCACCCCTCCAGAACTGCCTTTCCCTCCCACTCCCTCCCCCCGCTCTGCCAGGCTTAGCCCCTTCCTGTCCAGGCCTTTGCACCCCGGCCCCACTCCCCATCTCCACCACCCCAGAGTTCCCATCCTGCTTGCAAATGCCACTGTGCTCTCCCTTCCTTTCCTGCCGGATGTCCCCACTGAGTCAGACTCGTCAACTCTCCCAGCAACCATGACGCACCCAGGCTCCGCTTCCCAGGCCTCTCTCACACACAAATGCATACATATTCTCTCTCCTTCTCCCACCCGTTCTGTGTCCTGCCCCACACAGTCGACTGAGTTCCAGGCCAGTCTCAGGAGGCTTCAGAAGCCTCAATCAGCCTCAAGCTTCCCTCCGCCTGCCCTGCACTGTGTTGTTGGAGCTGGGAGGCCCACAGCACTGGCTGGGGAGGGAGAACTAATGCTCTCCACCCTCTTCAGAACTCAGGCCCGGACCAGGTGTGCAGAGGAGGCGAGTAGATGGGGGAAGCTACAGGGACGAGGCAAGTTCTGTGTACCCCTCTCCCCCATTCCCAGCCAAGGTGCAGGTGGAAGGGCAGCAGGGAAATAGAGGCATGGGCACAGGCTTGTCACCTATGGGATGGCCACTCAGCTCTTCTGCAGGGGCTTGCAGGGACACACACCTCTAACCTAGGGCAAAGGCCTCCTGGTCTGTCAGGCTGGAGAGGTATGTGCCCAGGACAAACCTACAGTCATAGAGGGGACCCTCAGCTGCTGGTCCTGTGTTTCCCAGTGTTATTCACACAAGACATCACACCTCTGAGCAGCCCCCACAGTCTCCCACTTTTCCCAGAGTCTGTGGTTGGCCTGTCTGCGCGCCATTGGACAGAGGCTCTCTGAGGGCAAGAATGACGTGCCAAGTGGCTCTGGATCCCCAGTGCCTGGCACGATGCCCCTGCATACTAAAGAACCTCCATCAGCACTTATGGAATGAAGACATTGTGCGTGAATTGTGCTTACCATCCTGTGCATAGCTGTGGGTAACCTGTGCATAGGCTGGGACTGCCTTTCTGTCCATCTAGAATGCATGCAGCCCTGAGGGAGCCACTGGGTGGCAAAGACGCCCTAAGAGTGCCTGCCTCTGTCCTGGAGAGAAGCCCACAGGAAGCAGGGGAGACAGCTTACCATGCCCATGAGACTGCGTCTGTTTCTCTGTGTGGCCACTAAGGGGCAGCAGAGCTACAACAGCCTGGTTCTGGGTGAGGAAGGCAGTTCCCCTTCTCTGTTGGTCCCCAGGGCCTCCCCCAAGTCCCTGTAACTTCCCCTCCCAACTCCATCAGACTAGAGAAGCCATCCAGTTGTAGAAGACTTATTTTATTGATGAGGAAGCTGAAGCCCAAAGAGGTGGTACCCTCTGCCCAGGTGGCACACCCTGTCTCTGATGCCATTGAGACCACACACCTGGGCCCTGCCTCCTGCCCAAGGCGCCTTCACCGGCTGCCCACCAACGACATTCTGCTGATCCTTTCCTCTGTGCCCTCCCTCTCTCCACCCGGGGTTGGGTCGGGTATCCCAGCACCATGGGCACAGGCTCTTCCCTGTGGTCCCCCACCCTCCCAGGCCACCTGCTGGCTCAGGCAATACCCCCTGAGGTCCGGAAGGGACCATATCTGAACTGTAATTGTGATCCTCAGAGCACAGGCGTAGGACCAGCCCTAAGGATGAGATGGCTGCAAGTTGGGATTCTCACTGAGGAGAAAGGGGGAAGGAGTCTGCAGCGGAGGAAAGACCCTCTGAGCCACTCACAGAGACACCTCGCCCTTGGGAGCACAGACCCAGCAGAGGCTCCACCCACAAGGGCCACACTGCTCAGACCTCATTCTGTGTCCAGAATGCTGCGCCTGCAGCGGGATCAATGAAACAAGCAAGCCGGACCCTGCCCTTTTCCTTAGCCTTGCCAGAAGATGGCGGGCAGGGGGAGAGGGTGCGGTGGGTGGATTCCAGATGAACTTCACCCCCTACTGGCTGTGTCCCTTCTCTCTCTGGCCCTCATCTATAAAATGAGGTGTACCTGCTTCACAAAATCATCTGGAGAGGAAATAACATGGGTACCCATTCCACATCTGGAACAAAGCGTACCCAGAGTAAGGCTCAAAACAGTTTTCTTGCCTAAGGAAACTTCCTGATGGCCGCCTCCTGGATGCTACCTCCCCAGCATTCTTTGAGGGACCCAAAGGCTGCCTCCCACCAGCCTGCTGGGGCCTGAACACATTAAAACTTCTGGGTTATGCAGACCATTTGTGACCAGGTGGAGAAGATCCTGAGGCACTGCCTTAGCCACCTCCCCTCATGTCTCTTGCCCAGCACACCCCCTCCAGGGAGTCCTCCCTGTCCCGCCCTATCCCCAAGTTCCAGGCCCTGGTTGCCATCTCTCCCCAGCCAGCACTGGTGCTTCTGGAGTAGTCCCTGCACTCTACCTGTCTCTGGATCCCCCCAGGCCCAGTTCCAGGCTCACATACCAATGCTCGGGAACCATTCTTCTTGGTGGGGGGCCAAGCCCTTAGAGGTCACTGGTGCCGCTTGCCAGCCCTGGGTGTGTGGGCGAGTATTGAGGAAGAGAGTGAGCCAGGCTGGACTACATGAGAGCCCAGCTACTAGGCAGGGGTCCCTCCAGATGGAAAGGGGCCAGAGAGTAGCTTAAAGCACAGTGTTCCCTTCCTGCAAACCCATCCTTCCTCCCTGCCCCACCATGGCCATTCTTGCCTCAAGAAACTGCTGTCCTGCCTCCCAGAACTCGAAGTCTGGTCAGGCCAGGCCTCGTCCTGGGTGGGCAGAACTCAGAATGCATAAGGTGTGGCTGGAGGGACCAGCCCTGGGCAGGCTCCAGCTGCCAGGGACGAAGTCTGGGCCACACCTTTTGAAAAACACACATGCCAGAGCAGGGTGGGGAGACTGAAGCCCTTTGAGGCATCAGAAGCAGAAGGTAAGCTGGACCAAGGGACACACTCCTCCACACCCAGGGATGGGGCATCCTGAATCTTCTGGCATCAGGCCCAGCAATGGGAGGCGAACACTGGCATGGACCTTGAGACCCTGAGGTCCCCCTTTGTCGGTGCTCTGTTCTCATGCACCAACGTTGGATCTCTTCATGGTGCAAAGGGGACCCATCGTGTTTTCCCAGAAGCCCCACCTTGACCCTCAGCCCAGAGCTTCCCACGAGCAGAGGCTGAGTGCTGCTCTTTTGGGGCTTGCCCATGCCATGCCCTGAGCAGAGCACCTACTGTGTTTTTTACCTAGCCAAGGTGATGCAGGAACCAGCAGGAAAGACCTTGGAGGCACCTGCCAATACCAGGCTGTGTTAGCCTGAGGTCCAGTCAGCACAGGGCTCAGGCCCAACAGGGAGTTTTCCAGAAGGAGATGAGCTTCAAGGGGATGAGCAAGACTCAGGCAGAGGGATGGGAAGAGAGGGCATTCCATGAATGCACAGGAGATAGCAGGGTCTCAGGAGGCAGGAGAATGTCTGTGGCTTTCAACTGCAAGAGAACATTAGGTTAGGAAGGTACAGACCAGACTGGGGAGGCAGACTGAGGAGGTGGAGTCATCCAGAGGTGCTGAAAGTTTTAGAGCAGCTGCTGATGAGGCTACTCGGTGGTTTAGGAAGCTAAAACCAGAGTGGTCCAGGTGGGTCCCATAGGGCAGGGGTAGGGTTGGGGGCAGTTAGGAGGCTGTGTCCAGATGCCAGAGGGAGGCATCTGGGCCAGGCAGGGCGGAGGGGGGGCAGGGGCGGCAGGGAAAAGGTGAGCAGGAGAGCCTTCAGGAGGACTCAGAGCCTTGGCTTGGCTGGTGTGGCAGTGGAGAGGGAAACAGCCCAGGCAGCATCAGGCACTCAGGCTGGGGGTCTTCACAGAGTCGGGCACAGAACAGGGTGGCCTGATGTCTCTGGGAAGGGTGCTCACCAGGCAGCAGAAGCTGGAAGGCCAGACGGGACAGTCTCTACCTCTTCTCTAGGCCTGTCACATAGGGCTGAGGCAGCATCTCTGGGGTAGGAAGAAGGTCCAGTGTGGCTTTGAGGCATGGAGAGGAGGGTGACTAGGAGGCCGAGGGAAGTGTGAGAGCCCAGGCCACTGAGGAGAGGGCGCGGGCCTCTGGAGTGGCCTCAGGTGGTGTGGCTCAGGGGCTTTCACCCTGCCTAGAGGTGGCTAGGCGGGAAGGGGTGACCAGGGTGCAGAGCATGCTAAAATGCTGGGCCTGGACACCTGCGGTGGGTAGCAGGGTGGCCAATTGTCCCCACTTGCCTGGAACTGTCTCAGTGTTAGCACTGAAAGTCTTGAGTCTGGAACACGCCTCTGTCCTAGGCACACCTGGATGCTGGGCGCCCTGGGGGGAGAGGGAGTTGCAGGAGGCTGGGGCAGGGAGGGGACCTCTTGGGGGCTGTCAGTGGAATGCTCTGAGGTACCAGAGGCCAAAGGTTCAAGGGAAGTGTCCCTCAGGCAGGTCCCCAGGGCTGGGCAAGGGAGCCTCTGATACTCACACTGGTAACAGTAACACCCTGCGCTCCAACGTCTAACGCTGCCAGAGCCTCTCACAAGTGATACCATTGGATCTCTTCAAGCTCTGCAACCTGTGAATTAGCCAGGGCAGGTGCTATTAGTTTCTCTTTGGAGATGAAGGTCAGAGACATCCTGCCCAGGAGTCTCTAGGGCAGGGCCCTCTCCACTGCTTCTGAATCACTGTGCCAGGGTGGTGGCCCGTCCCTGCAGCCCTCTCCAGTGCGTACCTTTGGCCTCATACCTTGGCAACCTTGTCCATCCAAGAAGCAGCGCCTGGCTGTCCTGTCTCCTTCCTCCAGCCTGCAAGGCAGCCCAGGAGGCAAGGGGGCCTTCCTGGTTCTGCTGATAGGCACTGGGGGTTCTGGAGAGGGCCTTCACTGTGTCCTCAGCCTCCCAGAGCCCCCTCATTGCCTCCACTGCCCCAGGAGACGCCCTTCAGCTTCTCTCCCTGATTTCCCATCTCTTCTTCCAGATCCCAGCCCCTCACCCCAGAAGTATCTCCTCCTGCTCCACAGAGCTCCCTTCTCCACTCTGTGGCTTTCTGGCAGGGAAGTGCCACCGCTCTCAGCCAGGCAGGAAACCCCAGCACTTGGTGAGCACTTACGATCTGTAAAGCTCAGTGCTGAGGCGTAGGGGGGCCACACACATGGAGAAGGCCCTGCTTGCCCTCAAAATCTTAGGACTGGGTAGGGGAATAGTCCATGAGCACGTATACCCTGCTACAGATCAACTCCCATGTGTCACCACTGCTGCAGGTGCCCCCCTCACCTCCAGCAGGCCTCTGGGCCCACTCAGCCTCCTCGGGCTGCCTTGTCTTCTCAGTCTGCCCCATCAAGACAGGGCCTACTGTCGCCACCCAAGGCCTCACTACCCCTCCCACCCGCTGCTGTAGTGGGTTCTATGATTGGCACCCACTGGAGCTCAGACTCTCATTCCACAGATGGAGAACCTAGGCCCCGAACCTGGAACCCAGAGCACTGGGCTCCTATGCGTTCCTCTCAACCCCCGCTTCCCTCCTGAGGGTCTGTGAAGACACAGGCCTCTTTCAGCGTCCTGTCAAAGGCCGGGGGCAGAGGTGGAGAGGTTGCCGTGTCAAGATCCCTGAAGGGGAAAATGAGGCAGAGTAGGGCTTCGAGGGCTGGTGAGGGCTGTGAGTGGTGGATGCCGGTGGTAACATTTACACAGCGTGGATGTGGGCCAAGCCTGGCAGGCACCACACCTTTGTAAACCTCCCCGGGGACTTCCGCCCTACCCCAGTAGCCCGCCCTGTGCTGGTTCCCCAGAGGCTCACAGCAAATGTGTGCAGAAGGGACTAATAACCTCCTACCTAGCCATAAACCAAAGTCCTTTGACCAATAAAGTTCACAAAGCAGGCTGGAATTTTTCACAAGACCATTCCTAACAGGAGAGATTACCTAAGGTAAAGAAAGGGCCGGCGCTGTAGACTCAAGTAGTCCCCAGCTGGGATTAACCACATACTTGCTAGGTAACCTCAAGCAGGTTTCTTAATGTCTCTGAACACTGGCATGTTTTAGTCTGTAAAAGAGGGGAGGATCAAGAGCAGATATGAGATAACTGATACTGTAAGAGAACCTGGCGCACAAATACTCTCCTGCCCACCACGGAGATAAAGGAGGATCACTCCCTTCCTCCTCTCCATTTTCCAAATTGTATCCTGATGGTGGTTATGTTACCTTTGTATTTATTGCTCTAATTGAGGGGATATAAAGGTGACTAAGAAAGTCACCACAGGCTGGGTGTGGTGGCTGATGCCTGTAATCCCAGCACTTTGGAAGGCCACAGTGGGTGGATCACCTGAGGTCAGGAGTTCAAGACTAGCCTGGCCAACATGGCTAAACCCAGTCTCTACTAAAAATGCAAAAGTTAGTCAGGAATGGTGGTGGACGCCTGTAATCCCAGCTCCTGGGATGGCTGAGGCAGGAGAATCACTTGTACCCAAGACGCGGAGGTTGCAGTGAGATTGTGCGACTGCACTCCAGCCTGGGCTACACAGTGAGACTATGTCTCAAAAAAGAAAGAAAGCCACCACAGCCCCTGCCCTCTGAGAAGCACAAAGTCCCCACTGGGAGCAAAAGATATCAGGAGTAAGGACCCAGAGAGACAGGAGAGCTGAGCAAGGGCACTGGGTCTGTCTGCAAGCAACTAAGGAAGGCCACTGTGGCTAGAGCACACCAAGCAAGAAGTTGTGGCATGCAGCAGAGACCACAGGAGTCAGTGGAGACCAGACCATAAGGGACTTTCAGAGTGCAGAGCCAGCTGGCAGCCTGGGCTCCCTCCCTGCTTGCATAGGTCCATCCCAAAAGTTCCCTTTTCTGTGTGTGGTTTCCATTATCGGGCTAGCTCCCTGGGCTGGGCAGCATATCACAATTCATGCCTGGGGCTTGGCACCCAGGGCAAAGATTCCACCAGGTCCTCTACTAGGGTCACTATGTCTTCCTCCAACCCACTTGTAGGAGTCAGTGGGTTGACTAATGTGTGTGAAGCGCTACATGCCTGGCCTGGCATTCAGTAGGAGCTCTACAAATGTTCAGAGCCAGTCCCTGGTGTAAACAGCTTTGCCAGTGTTGGAGACTTCTGCCTGGATTCTGTGGCATCTCATTACCACACCAATCTGGTAACGGCTTGTTCCCCAGCCTCCCCATCACACACTTGAGCACGCGCACGCGCACACACACACACACACACACACCCTGCTTTCAACTGTCCTTTGCCCAGATAAGGATTAGCCCATCCCTCTTCATTCCCTTGAGCCTTCTGCACCTGACCCTCCCAGTGCAACTGGTCAATCCCAGCCCCTCCCTGACCTGTACAAATACACCTGAGGACAGACAGTGCCTCAGACTTCCTGCCCCTGCTCTGCACTCTCAGGTAGGGACCTGGCTCTGCTTGCTGTTGGCTGGGGACAGTAGGGTCTCTGTGGGGTACGTTGTGTGTCCGTGTGGTCAGGGTCTCTCTGTGTGTGTATATGCACTGAATCGGTATCTGTGCTTCTGTGTCTCTGCGTGGAGATGTGTGTCTGTGTGCATGCATGTCTGTGCATTTGTCCTGTCCCCACTCCTGGGCTGGCCCCTGCACTTCTGCTGTCTTCTTCAGTTATGATTGATTTATAGTCTTTGCCATGGCAGGCAGCGGGGCTTAGCTGAGGGTGGAAGAAACTGCATAAGGTCCCTTCCAGAGCTGCCAACTCAAACACCTAGTCCCGAACTGCGGAGATACAGTCTTAGGACTGTCTTTTCTCTTTTGTCCTACCCAGATCGTGACTGGCCCTAAGGTTGTCTTTACCTCTTCTCCTGCAAAGCCCAGCCCCATGGTCTCTTCTAGCCTCATCACTCACTAAGGGAAAGGATGAGGGAGCAGAAAGGTCCAAGGGTATAGTTCACAGGCTGACCTCCGCTGAACATTTTTAGTACAAGTAGAAGCCAGTGAAAATGGGTGGCTCAAGAGGTGCAAGAAGCCGGGTGCAGTGGCTCATGCCTGTAATCCCAGCACTTTGGGAGGCTAGGGTGGGAGGGTCAATTGAGCCTAGGCACCATAGTGAGACTTTGTCTCTACAAAACAAATTTTTTTAAATTAGCTGGGTGGGGTGGCACAAGCCTATAGTCCCAGCTACTCCAAGGCTAAGGTGGGAGGATTGCTTAAACCCTGGAGGTCAAGGCTGCAGTGAGCTGTGATTGCACCACTGCACTCAGCCTGGATGACAAAGGAGGAATCTGTCTCAAAAAAACTTTTTTTAAAGAGGAACTAAGGCTCTCTAGAAAAAAAGGTTCAGAGGGCCATGCCTTGCAAGAGGTTGGGGTTGTTGTAATGCAGGGGCTGTTTGTCCTTGTATGCCCAGCAACCTTATAAGTACCAGAGAGCTCTGATGTCAAGTATTTTCTCCTGACATCACATACTACACTTCCGTCTATGGGTTGAAAAAAACATGTACTGTGTGTTCACTGGGTCTATTCTGGGGTTGTCCATAGTGACTTGCAAGCCAGCCCCAAGCAAGACATGGCCAGCCTTGGCACCAGGGTACCTCGGCAGCTCCATCTCATGACAGCAGAGCTTGTTGGTGAATGACAAGTTGGCTCAGACCCCAAGCTCCACCCGCTTCCAATCCTGATGGGAGGAGACAGGTACGCACAGCTAGGACCCCATGGAAGTTTTCCATTCGCTTGTACCTCAGGGCAAAAATCACAGGGTCCCCTGGACCCCTCAGGGGCCACCAACCCATTCCTGTCCTACCAACTCCATCCTTCCCTTCCCTGCTCTGTGCACACTGATCATGACAAGCTTCCGGCTCCCACCCCATGCCAGGTGTTTACATAAGAAAAGAGTCTGTAGGGACAGAGGTATCATGACTAGGCACATGGCTGGCACACAACATAATAGTGACTGAATGGAGATTGAAATCTTCCCAAGTAGAATCGGATTAACACATAATTGTGTCTAGGGGGGCAAGTGTAAGAGTATGGGGCGTAGGGGCTGGTACATGTGCTGTTGTGTCTCCATCTACCCACCATGTAGGTGAACCTGCTGTGTTCATTTAACCCCCATGCCTGGCGCCTATAGTGTCAGCTCTATATTGGTGCCAAACTAAGCCAGAGGAGGCAGTTTTTTCCCTTTCGTCCTTTGAAGGGTGTGTGTGTGTGTGTGTGGGTGTGTGTGTGCGCGCGCGCGCATCCCTGGGAGGGAAAAGAGAAAGACTGTGAGTTAGATTACAGTAAACTAAAAGTTACCTGTCGAACACAGGTGTTCCTTGTGTCATTCCCTGCTCTTGCCCTAGAAAGATGGACCCAGGTAAGCACTGTGGCTGGGAGGCTGGGAACTGGAAGAGGGAGGAGAGTGGTGAAAGCAGGGGTTATCAGTCAGCCATAACTAGTGCATGCCAAAAATGTGTATGTGTGTGTGTGTGTGTGTTTGTGTGAAGGTGGTGGTAGGGGTCCACAGTAAAAACAAGCCCTTATATTCTGTACAACATGTTACAGTTTAAGAAACATGCTTTCACACCTGTAATCCCAGCACTTTTGGAGGCCAAGGCGGGTTGATCACCTGAGGTTGGGAGTTTGAGAGCAGCCTGACCAACACAGAGAAACTCCGCCTCTACTAAAAAACAAAACAAAACAAAACAAACATATATTAGCCAGGCGTGGTGGCACATGCCTGTAATCCCAGCTACCTGCAAGGCTGAGGCAGGAGATTCGCTTAAACCTGGGAGGTGGAGGTTGCAGTGAGCAGAGATTGTGCCATTGCACTCCAGCCTGGGCAACAAGAATGAAACTCCGTCTCAAAAAAAAAAAAAAGAAAGAAAAGAAAAAGAAACATGCTTACCCACATTTCTTAACAGGGTAGGTGCTTCTCCCACTGCACACTCAAGGCCCAAGGGAACTAGAGGTCCCTCTCAGGGCAAGGCCGTGGAGGTTCGGCTGGGTCAGAATCCAGAATCCAGAATCCAGCTCTTGGGAGCTATGCCACTGGCTTCCCTCAAAATGAACAAAAGATCTTCCTAGGCTTTAAGAAGTAGCAGACAATTCCCACCGTCGGGGCACTTCAGAACATGCAGGACCACTCAGGTGGGTGCTGCAGAAGGAGCCCACCAGACCCACAGCCGGGCATCCACAGCTCCCATGTGGATTTCCTGCAGGAGGACAACGTACAGCTCAGCCAGGGAGATTTCCAGGTGGCAGGAGGCACGAGCAAGGCCAAGAGCTGAGAACAGAAGGTCATAAACAGGAGACAACAAACAGCTCTGAGAGGCTGAGCAGAGATTGGGCCAAGATATGTGGGGTGTGACAGAGACAGCGACAGATGGGGAGGCTGGCAGGGTCGCTGGCATGAAGGCAGAAGCAGAAGAATCAGGTGAATGACAGGGTTGGCCACCATGGAGCACCTTCCAGGCTGATAGAGTTGGGACAAGAACCCATACCTCCTAACTGACCCCACTCCACCCAGGAGGGCTCAGCCAGCCCTTGAGCACACAGGGACATACCACTGAACCTTATATTGACTTCCAATATGTATCTTTGCTGAGAGAATGAAGGAGTGATTGTCAAGCGAGTGACCATGTCTGAGAGGTCTTGTTGGGGTAGGGGTGTGGGCACAAAATCCCTAGCGCCAGGGAAAAGATAGGTTTTTTTACTGCAGAACCAAATGACCAAAGCTGCTGCTTTTTGTCCTTTCCTTTCCCACAGGTCCAAAGGTAAGAAAGTTCCCCCAACGCTCTCCCCCTTTTCCTCCCCACTATCATGTTCTCCAGACTGCCAGCCTCCTTCCTAGACTCTCAGGGAGCAGCCACCACTTCCCCAAATGAAAAGAAGGGAGCAGGCTCAGGCCTCAGCCGATGGGGGAGGGGCCACGCTGCACTCCTCCACCCCCTGCCGGCTGCAGCCTTCTTCTTGGCGTTCTCTCCTCTGTTTTCCCATCTGTCTCTCTCCTTTCCTCGCATCCCCTCCCTGCCCTAGCAGCCCATCCTCTCTCCTGCTGCTTCCCCGCCTGTTCTATGCTTTTCTGCTTTCCTGGTTACCCTCACAGCCTCGCTGGATGGATGGCTTGCTCCCAAACCCCAATGACCCTATGGGGCCCCTAGGACTTACTTCTGCCAGGGAAGGGAGACTGCCTCTCCTCCACCTCATCTGCTGGCTACCACCAGCAGACTCAGTTCCTGGGCCTGGGTCTGTGCGCCAACCCCCAAATAAAAGAGCCATAAGTGGAAGGTAGGTGTGGTGGGAAGTGGCTGTTTCCAGGCCTCACTGAGCCTGGATGGGACAGGGCCTACCCTACCATGGTCACAGGAAAGCACGAAGCCCTGAAGCCTGCCTCTTCCCCACTGGTACCAAGCCCTAACCAAACCCTAGGAGGCAGATGCAGACTGGGGAGTTATTCAGCCCCAACAGTGGGAGCATAGCCCTTCCCTGCTCCACAGGGTCGCAGGCCCCCAGTCCCCTACCATAGAAGCAAGGTGGTATCTCTTGCTCCCGCTCCCCCCAGCCCCCACCGGGCTTGTGGCAAGAGGCAAAGAAACTCCTCTGGCCCTGGAGCTTCAGGAATGATTCCCCCCAAGATAGAAGGTCAAAGCACACTTTTTCCAGGCCTTCTCTGGCTAAGGCAGAAAAGCTTTGACTTTACTTTGTATTCTTCCTGATTTCTTGGGTCTGGCATCTGCTTAGGAACAGGTATGAGCTCACACATACTCATGTACACAGAACCATGCACTCCATGCACGTATCTGTACACATAGCAGGTTTGTATATGAACCCACCCACGCACAGATACACAAACATAGCTATTTTATGTAAATGCAGCACACACCCTGTACACACACATACACACATACACACAACCTATAAAAAGAATACAGACAGCCAGGCGCGGTGTCTCAAGCCTGTAATCCCAGCACTTTGGGAGGCCGAGGTGGGTGGATCACGAGGTCAAGAGATCGAGACCATCCTGGTCAACATGGTGAAACCCCACCTCTACTAAAAATACAAAAAATTAGCTGGGCATGAGGCACATGCCTGTAATCCCAGCTACTCAGGACGCTGAGGCAGGAGAATTGACTGAACCCAGGAGGTGGAGGTTGCGGTGAGCCAAGATCGCACCATTGCACTGCAGCCTGGGTAACAAAAGCGAAACTCCGTCTCATTAAAAAAAAAAAAAAAAAAGAATACATACATCCTCACCTTGCTACCTCTTACCCTCCGTCTCCTCTCATCCTCCAACTGTCCACCTTCTCCTTCTTCTCAGCTCTTGCATCTCCCCTGACCCAGCCTTCTGTGTCCCTTTGTCCCTGGCCTTCAAAGAGTTCTTATGTAGCCTCCTCCAACTTCACCCTTGCTAAGTACAATGAGCCTCCAGTTCCTAGCATGGCAAAGCCTCTAATCACTCTGCAAGGGTTCCTGGGTGAAAGAAAGGAGAAGATGAAATAATTCTGTTTCTTAGTTGCAAATAAAATAATCGAGGTCCAGGGAGTGGGAGTCATATCTCAGCTCAAAGAATAGAAACCAATAAATCTAGGTTGCTTTTATCTGCTCAGTGCTCTGGCCTCATCAAGACATAAGGCACAGAAGCAGTCATTTGCTATCTGTTCCCCCAGCCCTCCACCACAACCCCTTGCTTGCCTAGGAATCCTGAGTCCCCCAGGGAAGTAGGGAGATGGAGAGTTGATCTCGGGTAAGCTTAGCCATGACCTCTGACTCTGATGTTGTTCATTTGACTTTTCACAGGGGCACTGCCATGGGGGACATGGCCATGGCCATCCTCCAGGTCCAGGTCACTGCGGGCCCCCCCCTGGCCATGGCCCAGGGCCTTGCGGGCCCCCCCCTGGCCATGGCCCAGGGCCTTGCGGGCCCCCCCCTGGCCATGGCCCAGGGCCTTGCGGGCCCCCCCCTGGCCATGGCCCAGGGCCTTGCGGGCCCCCCCCTGGCCATGGCCCAGGGCACCCACACCCTGGTCCACATCACTGAGGAAGTAGAATAAAACAGGACACAAGATGGCAAGCCTGAGAGAACTGCCCAGCTGACCTGGAAGGAGACCTGAACCAGAATCTTTTTTTCCTAATAAACAGCCTCCTAGAGGCCATATTCTATTCTTAAAAGAGCCCGTCTTCCTTCATATCCACCTGGCTATCAGAGGGCCCAGTTGTCTCCGAGCTTCCTCATTGTGAAGATGGGGCAACAAGCCAGGCATTCTCAGAAGCTTAGCAACATGGTGTTCACTATAAATGGCTGTGTAAGGTCACCTCTCCTCTCCCTTTCACTCCTGGCCCCTCCCATCGAGAGACCTCAAGTGTAGCCTCATCACCTCTATGCCATCCTGTACATCCAGATCTGGTGGGCCTTCCGAGGTTGCAGCTTGCATGCCTCACTCTACAGACCAGAAGCCTCCCTCCAATCCAGATGGGTTTCTCACCATTCCCTGAAAATACACTGAACTTTCCAGCCTCCTTACCTTTGTTTGCACAGGTGAGGAAGAATGCCCTAACCCCAGGTCAGAAAGGCCTTCCTCTCTTCTGCCTCCCCATTTCAAAGCCTAGTCTTTCTTCCAAGCCAGCTGAAGCCCCACCTTCTCCATGAAGCCTTCCCTAAGGCCTATTAGGAAGAAAGAGGTCCTCTTTCTTTGCATACTGCCCCCTTCTCTGCAATAAAGCTACAGAGAAGAGATACTGTCAATCACCTCATGGGCCTGACCACATCTTGCCTGTTGGCACCAATTTATGGGCTGGCCCTTTATCTCTCCAACCAAACTATAGGCTATTCAGGGCAGACCCAACACTTCAACACCTCTAGATTCTCCCACAGCATTGCTTATGACCTGTGTCTTACACAGATTGGCATTAGCCCACATTTTAGCAATACCTACAGTCTAAGTGTTCCTTACTCTCTCCTCAGCCCTCTGTCTTCAACCAAGGCCTCTCCCTGCACTGGTAACTAGGCCCTGAACAGCCTGCTTGCTGTAAAACCCTTTCTGCCTATCCAAATCCCACATCCGGGATCCTCTCCACTCCCCACATCCCAGGCTTGTCATACTGCCAATATCTATTCTAGATCTAGGCCCCTTAGCCAGGCCTGTCCACAGTCCATCATACCCAAATGTGCTCTACTCACAGCTACTCCCTGGTGGAGTCAGTGGCTATTGGGCACCTCCCAGGCTGAGGTAGGGGAACAGGGGTGACTATAAAAAAGGATCTGGGGTCACTCAATATACCCTTATAACAAACCTGCGCATGTACCTCCTGAATCAAAAATTAACCTTAGCTTACTGTAACTTTTTTTTTTTCACTTTATAAACCTTTTAAATCTTAAAAAAGAAAGAGAAGGAGCTGGGGATGATCTGGGCATCTCTCTTCTTCCTCCCTCCTCCACCAGACTCCGCACTTGAATAACGGAGTCAGGGCTCCACATCTGAGGGGTGCACACCCAGGTCCAGGTTGAGGTCCAGAAGGATGGGAAAAAAGACCCAACCTGATGCCTCGCCCTCCTGGGGAGGGGAGGAGGGCGCTAGCGAGCCGCGAGCCTCGCAGGCCTGAAGCCGCTGGCCTCTCCACCCGGAGCGTCCAGCCCTGGTGCGGACATGGAGCCCGCCCTCTATCCGGATGGAAGGGTCCGCGTTTCGATTTGTGAGGATGTCTGCATGGGCCGCGCTCCCTGGTTCCTTACAGGAAGACCGAGGCCGCTAGGAAGGGTTGGACTGCCGGACTCCTAGCAGCGACTCTCAGGCCCGGCGGGAGCAAAGGGGTGGGCACACCCGCAGCCCCGCGGTCTTAGAGACAGGTCGCTCCGCTCCCGCCGCGGCGCCGTGCCCATTGGCTGGGCTCCTCCTCGCCCCGCCCAGCGCCCGGCCCGCTCAGAGCCAAAGCATGCGCACGAGCCCGCTGCTGCCGCCGCCGCCGCCGCCGCCGCCGCCGCCGCAGCCGCCGCCGCGGCTTCAGCACCAGCGCCGGGACAGCGGTGCCGCCCACGGGCATGGACGGTGACAGCAGCAGCAGCAGCAGCGGCAGCGGTCCGGCTCCCGGCCCAGGTCCGGAAGGGGAGCAACGGCCCGAGGGGGAGCCCTTGGCCCCAGACGGCGGCTCCCCGGACAGGTAGGGCGGACCGCTCCGCAGACCCAGATCACAGACCTTCCGAGCACCCCCGCCCCAGGTATCCCCAGTAGCCGCCATATGTTGCCGCATTCATTCCCCAGACCCTCCGGGAGCCCCTTCCCAGGGTCGCCAAGCTCCAGGCCCCCCTCGCCACGCCCTCATCCTGCCGGGTCAGTTTCCTCGCTCCCTGACACCCCCTAGTGTCAGCCCCCATCGCCCTCTCTGCTTAGGGAACCTGCCCCACCCACGGCTCCTACCCCTCCTCTAAGGCCAGGACCCCCTGGCTCCTCCGGCCCCTCCTTCTAGGCCCTGCCCCTGCGTCTTCTCCGGAAGCCCCAAGCCCGCAGTAACCTCAGTCCGGGTTTTAGCGTCTCAGTGTGCATGAGGGTGTTTGTGAATCATGGACAGGAGAATCGCCGAGGCGGGTGTCCTGGGGAAGGCAGACATTCGGCAGGCACGTCAGGGACTGTCTTTGTCACCGTCAGTCTCTTGCCTGCCCTGCATGGCCCCCAGCTGTGCACGTGTGGGTTCCAGTCCCTGCATGTGGCAGCCACACTGGCTGAAGCCGCTAAGATGGGAAGGGTCTGGTGCTCAGGCCACTGGCCTGTACCACCCTGTAAGAGCCCCGGGCTAGTGGGACAGGAGGGACACCTTCCTGCTGAGGGCCCAGATCTCAGTACCTCTCCTCTCCCTTCCTCCACCATATGTGTGAGGGAACAGCCCAGCTAGGTAGCAATATGGCGCAATTTCTGTGCCCTGCCTGGCTCTGCCGCCCCCAGAATCCCTCCTCTGACATGACACTGCCTCTTTCCTGCCTGGATTGAAATAAAAGGCATTCTTTGGTAGCAGTAGCAGAGGTGGACACATCGTCTCCAGACTACCCCAGTTAAAATGTACATTCTGTACCCCAGAGGGAGAGAAAGCCCCACAAGTAGAGAGAAATGTTTTCTTCCCTTTATTGTGAACAAATTAGCCCTGAATAGATTTAGCCACCCTTCAGTTTGAAAGTCACAAAGCCTTCAACAGGGTGAGACACAGGATGAGTGTATTCACCAGACGAGGGACCTGCCTGGGACTATGGCCTGATCAAAGAGACCAAGGATGGAGCAGTGACAGGGCAGAGTGGGAGCCTGGGACCAGAAGCATCCCTAGAAGGGGCAGGAGAGTCATTTGCTGTCTCAGATATCTTGCCAAGGATCAGCCGTGTCCAGGCTCATTTCCCCTGGGCATAGGATCCACTTGCTGTCTTCCAGAAATGCCCTGGGAACTCTGGCCCCTTGCTGTGCTTCTCCAGAGACCATGGACACTAACTAGGCACAGGGACTTGCTTATGTGATTCCAGAAACACAAAAATGCTCCTGCTGAGCTAAGTAGCACTCTGGGGATAGATACACAGTGAATAACTCACACACACATGCGCATATGTGCACACCCTTACCAACACACCGGCTAGAGAGGAATTTGAAAGAGGCCACACTTTGTGTTTTTAAAATTACCTTTTTATTTTCCTAGTGGTATGAGCTGTTCCCCATCTGTCTTGGCCACTCTGTGGGATCACACTGATGTTCATATGGCTGTGTGTCTGTGGGCTTGAGGGCATGGTTAGTACAATATAACTTTGCCCCTTATGGGGCTTCCAGGTTAGGCCTCTGTGTCTGGGATCTTGTCAGCCAGGCTCTGATTGCAGGGATGTTGGGCTCTTGAGTGAGGCCTGCATCCCCACTTTCCATTCCACTGCCTGCTCTACTCACTTGGCTTATGGGCCTGCAGGCCCAGGCAGGCAGCCCAGGAAGCTACTCATCCCAGTGAGGGCCATGGAACTGAGGGAGTGAGAATAAAAAACCCCTGTGTAGGCCTGGGATGCTTAATTCCTATTACTACTAAGCCTCCTGAGAGCAGAAGGCAGCAGGAGCTGACAGGAGAAAGCTTTTATTCTGAGAAGAGTGGAGGTTGGCTTTTCTCATTGGGAGATTTGAGGAAAAGGCCTGGCTCTACAGCAGTCAGAATATGGAAGGTTTCAAGTTCTGCCACATTGATAATGGTTGGCACAGTCAGGAAGGGTGGGACTGGGGGCAGCTGATCCTAGGTTGCTGAAGAGGAATAGCAGGGGTTAAAGGGAAGGAGCTGGGGCCAGGGCGACTCCAGCAGAAGCAAACCAGTGGTGGAGGTTAAGATCCCTCTTGAAGAAAAGCCAGCTAAGGAAAAGGGTGGACTTAGGAGGTTTGGCAAACTGGGTAAGCAGGAGTGTACCCATTCTTCTCCAGTATCCTCTGGAATGCTGGTTTCCCCTAATGCAAAAGAAACTGACACTCCAAGTGGTGCCCTGCCTCCTAAAACAAGCCCAGTGCTCAGTTATCTAAGGTGATGGGCAGCTGGAATAGGCTCCCCACCTCCACCTGGGCTGCCCCACTTTCCTGACCCCTAGAAGGCAAGCCCTGCTCTGAAGAGGGAGACCAAGACTAATGGATCATCTTCATGCCTCCAGGACCCAACCCAGAGCAAGTACAATGCTAAGCACAGGATGGGTATGCAAGAAAAACCTGCAGAATTGAACATCTTAAAGAAGTCAGTGTCCACACTTACACACACAGCCTAGACCATTTATCCAGCTTCTCTCTGGCCCACAGGGATTGGCCTACAGGGTCTTTTATCTGCCAGGACACTGGTTGCTTATATCATTAACTTTATAGAGTCATCTGAGGTCTTGCTTTAGAACAGCTTTGGTCAAATTCCTATTTTCCTAAAGGTTGAGTTTGTAAAAAATAAGTGATTAAAATCATGAGATCAACTTTTGATGCAGCTTTTAGGTAACCAAAAAGAAAGTATTTGTACATGTAGTGAGTTTCTCAAGGTGTGAGAAGTTCTAAAACGGAGATATATTATCTGAGGTGCCAAAAGAGGATAAACTATAAATACAAACACACTTCTAAAAGTATATGCTCCCTGCCGCACTGACCATGGGAAGGGGCAGGAAAGCAAACGTGTCTTCCATATGACAGACTCTGTGCCA